TATCTATACTGACATGGACGGGGTAATGGGTTATCATGCTGGATATCTATACTGATATGGACGGGGTAATGGGTTATCATGCTGGATATCTATACTGATATGGACGGGGTAATGGGTTATCATGCTGGATATCTATACTGATATGGACGGGGTAATGGGTTATCATGCTGGATATCTATACTGATATGGACGGGGTAATGGGTTAGGATTGTAAGGATGCCCCATCGTTTGATGGAAATGAAGATTATCAACCTACAGAGCACTGAATTCAAAGACACCCCAAAAATCAAAGTGAAAAAATGATGCAGGCGAGTCCATTCTGCTGACATTTCATTGCAGCAACTCAGAATGGTCCTCAGTAGTTTGTATGGCCCCCACGTGCTTGTATGCATGCCTGACAACGTCGGGGGGGGGGGGGGGGGGAAGGGTCCTAATGAGACGACGGATGGTGTCCTGGGGGATTTCCTCCCAGATCTGGACCAGTACATCACTGAGCTCCTGGACAGTGAGGTACAATCTGGTGGCGTCAGATGGACCGAAACATGATATCCCAGAGGTGTTCTATTGGATTTAGGTCAGGCGAGCGTGGGGGCCATTCCATGGTATCAATTCCTTCATCCTCCAGGAACTGCCTGCACACTCTCACCACATGAGGCCAGGCATTGTCGTGCACCAGAAGGAACCCAGGACCCACTGCACCAGTGTAGGGTCTGATAATGGGTCCAAGGATTTCATCCCGATACCTAATGGCAGTCAGGGTGCCATTGTCTAGCCTGTAGAGGTCTGTGCGTCCCTCCATGGATATGCCTCCCCAGACCATCACTGACCCACCACCAAAACTGTCATGCTGAATGATGTTACTGGCAGAAGAATGTTCTCCACGGCTTCTCCAGACCCTTTCACATCTGTCACACGTGCTCAGGGTAAACCTGCTCTCATCCGTGAACAACACAGAGCGCCAGTGGCAGACCTGCCAATTCTGGTGTTCAATGGCAAATGCCAATCCAGCTCTATGGTGCCGGGCAGTGAGCACAGGGCCCACTAGAGGATGTCAGGCCCTCAGGCCACCCTCATGAAGTCTGTTTCTGATTGGTCAGAGACATTCACACCAGTGGCCTGCTGGAGGTCATTTTGTAGGGCTCTGGCAGTGCTCATCCTGTTCCTCCTTGCACAAAGGAGCAGATACTGGTCCTGCTGATGGGTTAAGGACCTTCTATGGCCCTGTCCAGCTCTCCTAGAGTAACTGCCTGTCTCCTGGAATCTCCTCCATGCTCTTAAGACTGTGCTGGGAGACACAGCAAACCTCCTGTCAATGACACGTATTGATGTGCCATCCTGGAGGAGTTGGACTGCCTGTACAACCTCTGTAGGGTCCAGGTATCGCCTCATGCTACCAGTAGTGACACTGACCCTAGCCAAATGCAAAACTAGTGAAAAACAGTCAGAAAGGATGAGTAGGGAAAACAAAATGTCAGTGGCCTCCACCTGTTTTGGGGGTCATCTCATTGTTGCCCATCTAGTGTACCTGTTATTAATTTCATTAACACCAAAGCAGCTGAAACTGATTAACAATCCCCTCTGCTACTTACCTGACCAGATCAATATCCCAGGAGTTTCATTGACTTGATGCTATATTCTGATTGAAATATGTTCCTTTTGAGCAGTTTTTTGAGCAGTGTATTTTGTTTTGTTTTTTTTTTATTCAATAAAGTGTATTTTTTCCAAAACACGGACACAAATACCATGTACATAAATTGCAACGGTCACTATTGTATTCTCTAGAGTCTCTGCTAAATACATATATATAAAGTTTAGACTTAGATGGACTTTACTAACAAATTAAAGCCGAGGGATGTTTTGTTAGACCAGCGTACTCCAAACTTTCTAACCGAAGGGCCAGTTTAGTGTCCTGCAGACTTTAATGGGGATGGACTGTGGACAGCGGGAGTAGAAATTTTCTTGGTATCAGTGGGAGTAAACAGTGCCCCATCTTTGATATTAGGGGAAGGAATTGTGTCCCATCATTGGTGTCAGTGGGAGAAGTAGCTCCCCATCATTGGTTTCAGTGGGAGTAGTAGTGCCCCATCATTGGTGTCAGTGAGAGAAATAGTGCTCCATCACTGGTATCAGCGGGAGAAAGTGCTCCATCACTGGTGTCAGTGGAAGGAAAGAGTGCCTCATCATTGGTGTCAGTGGGAGAAATAGTACCCATCATTGGTGTCAGTGGAAAAAATAGTACCCATCATTGGTGTCAGTGGAAGAAATAGTACCCATCATTGGTGTCAGTGGGAGGAATAGTACCCATCATTGGTGTCAGTGGGAGGAATAGTGTCCCATCATTGGTGTCAGTGGGAGGAATAGTGCCCCATCACTGGTGTCAGTGGAAGGAATAGTGTCCCATCACTGGTGTGATTGAGAGGAATAGTGCCCCATCATTGGTGTCAGTAGAAGGAATAGTGTTCCATCACTGGTGTCAGTGGAAGGAATAGTGTCCCATCACTGGTGTCAGTGGAAGGAATAGTGTCCCATCACTGGTGTCAGTGGAAGGAATAGTGCCCCATCACTGGTGTCAGTGGAAGGAATAGTGCCCCATCACTGGTGTCAGTGGAAGGAATAGTGCCCCATCATTGGTGTCAGTGGAATAGTGCCCCATCATTGGTGTCAGTGGAAGGAATAGTGCCGCATCATTGGTGTCAGTGGAAGAAATAGTACCCATCATTGGTGTCAGTGGGAGGAATAGTACCCATCATTGGTGTCAGTGGAAGGAATAATGCCCCATCATTGGTGTCAGTGGAAGGAATAGTGCCCCATCACTGGTGTCAGTGGGAGGAATAGTGCCCCATCACTGGTGTCAGTGGAAGGAATAGTGTCCCATCACTGGTGTGATTGAGAGGAATAGTGCCCCATCATTGGTGTCAGTAGAAGGAATAGTGACCCATCACTGGTGTCAGTGGAAGGAATAGTGTCCCATCACTGGTGTCAGTGGAAGGAATAGTGTCCCATCACTGGTGTCAGTGGAAGGAATAGTGCCCCATCACTGGTGTCAGTGGAAGGAATAGTGCTCCATCATTGGTGTCAGTGGAATAGTGCCCCATCATTGGTGTCAGTGGAAGGAATAGTGCCGCATCATTGGTGTCAGTGGAAGGAATAGTGCCCCATCATTGGTGTCAGTGGGAGGAATAGTGCCCCATCATTGGTGTCAGTGGAAGGAATAATGCCCCATCATTGGTGTCAGTGGGAGGAATAGTGCCCCATTATTGGAGTCAGTAAAATAGTGCCTCATCATTGGTGTCATTGCTGGTGTCAGTGGGAGGAATAGTGCTCCATCATTGGTGTCATTGCTGATGTCAGTAACAGGAATGATGTTCCATTGTTTATATCAGTGGGCAGAATAGTGCCCCAAGGGCCAGATCAAAGCAAACAAAGGGCCGAATCTGTCCCTTGGACCACAGTTTGGAGACCTCTGCATTAAAGGGAAAAGACAAACCATGTACCGCTGACAGGGGTGCTTACAACGATCAGCTCTTATTTATGTAAAACTTTTATCCCAAAAGGAACAAAAACAACTGATGCTGTAACGGTTTATAAAGTGTGATCTGGAGTTCGACTTCAACCTGTTAGTGTATCGAAATCTGCTAATTTATCTAACACCCCCAGACTGACAATGCTGCTGTGCCCCCTGTGCTCCTTCATCCAAAGTGGGGGCGCTCTAATACAGGAGGGGTGTTACTGGCTAGATCACCAGCTGAAAACAGAGGGGGGAAGCCTTTAAAAAAAAGAAGACTAATGCAGCCACCACATCCAGGGGTCGGAGAGCTGCAATATACAGTATATGTATCTAGGAAGCAGAGAGCTGCCGTCCTGTGACTGTGTCCCCGGGAGTGGCTCCGTTGTGCCGGTAGGAGGATGTTGGAATATCACCGATGACACCCATGTGAAGGAAGAAGCGCGCTCCGCTCACACTCTCCTATATGGGCGGCTGGAGAGCCTCTTCTCGGAGCGCCCTCTAGGGGCCACAGGCAGCGCTGTCCATCCCAGATGTGTAGACAGAGGCTCGGCTCCGCCCCCGCCCCGCCCTCCTGCCATCTCCACATCCATGGACGCGTCCACTCTGCAAACTTCCCGGGAGAGGCCGGCGGTGTGAAGGTATACTGGGGGGGGCTCTGTCCTAGGAGTGTATACGGGGCTCGGCTGATCTCCCCGCCATCGCCGGGATCCCCCTCCAGGGAAACCTCTCTTGCTATCTGGGGGGAGGGGTTATAGGCTGATTCGGGTGTCGCTGATCTCTGTTTATAGTGAAGTTTACCCCCCCCCCTCTTCTTTCTGGGGCAGAAGAATGACATATTGTCTGATTAAAGGAGGAGCCCGCCTACTTCTCTCCCAAACCTCGCCCACTTCTTTCCCAAACCTCGCCCACTTCTCCAGGCCCGGCCCACCCCTCTCCCAGGCTCGGAGCCGCACACGTTGGTGCAAAGCCTGCCGCTGCTGTGAATGGCCCGGTGAGCCTGGCGCTGTGATTGGCTGGCGGGCAGTTGAGGTGGGCGGTCCGTGCTCGCTATTTGAGCCGAAGCTTTCCCCGCTCCTCTCCACTTCTACACGTAGAGCGGCGCGAGGAGGAGGAGTGGGCGGAGCGTGTTCGTGAGCCCGGAGTACACAAAGCGGATCCCGAGCGATGAGAGCCCCGGAGAGGCCGGGAAACAGAGCCTGACGCCGTGCGACCGGTGTGGATTGTACCGTATGGTGGGTGTGCTTCGCCCTCGGTTTGCACTCTATGGACGCAGTGCGGGTCCCCCGGGATGTCTGTGGAAGTTGCCGCTGCCTAGCCCCGTCCCCCGCCCATGCCTGTAGACCCCGGCTGCCTGGATGGCCGGATCATGAAGTGTTTGACTTTCTTTCTTCTGCTTCCAGAGACCTTCAAGAAGTCTAAAAAGAGCGGCGGCCGGGCGGGCGGCAAGGTGCAGGCATGCTATGAGATCGTCCCCCTGGCCCTCAAGAGGAAGATGGCTGCGGAGCTCTACCCTGCCCAGCACACCGACATCCCCACCGACAACAACTCCACCGCCAAGAAGAGCGCCCTCCACATCCCGCACAGCGCCCCGCCGCCTCCGCCGCTCCACAACCTCAACAACAACCACATCGACTCCGACCACTGGCAGTCCTCACACCCGACCCTGCGAGAGAGGTGAGCCGCGGCGCCCCCTACCCACCGCAAGCCGCACTGCGCTGGGGGCTCCACGGTCCAAGGGGGCTCCACGATCCAGAGGGGGCTTGGATATTACTGGGGGGCTCCACGATCCAGAGGGGACTTGGATATTACTGGGGGGGCTCCACGATCCAGAGGGGGCTTGGATATTACTGGGGGGCTTGGATATTACTGAAGGGCTCCATGATCCAGAGGGGGCTCGGAAATCACTGGGGGGCTCCATAATCCAGAGGGGGCTTGGATATTACTGGGGAGCTCCACAGTCCAGAGGGGGGCTCTGATATTATGGGGGGGCTCCATGGACCTCACACCTAACTACAACCCTGGGAATAACAGCACTGAGGGGGGTCACAGGAGGCTCTACCATCCATGGGGGGACTCTAATATCACTGGGGGGCTCCACGGTCCATACGGGAGCTCGTATATCACTGAGGAACTCCACAGTACAGAGGGGGGCTCAAATATTACTTGGGGGCTCTATGGACCACATACCCAACTACAATCCTGGGAGTGACAGCACTGAGAGCTCTTATAAATGGGGGGGGGGGGGGGGGGGGGTTCTAATATCACTGGAGGGCTCTACAGACCGCACACCCAACTACAACCCTGGAAATGACAGCAAGGGTGGTGGGGAGGGGGGGGCTTTACAGACCGCACACCCAATTACGACCCTGGACGTGACAGCCCTGGGGGCTCTACAGACCATAGGGGGGGCTGTATAGACCACAACCTTCACGAATGACAACACTTAAGGATCATGGGGGAGATGTAGACCACTACAACCCCCAACATTTGGGGGGCATAAGAGATTCTGCAGTTTCTAGGCACCAGAAGTGTGTTCTACAGTACTGTGGGGGCACGTCAATGTGGTACCTGGGGGTCGTACAGAGGCTTTAGCAATGACTGGGGATCATAGGCAGGCTCTGCAATCACTGGGGATCATAGGCAGTCTGTGCCACCATTGGGATATGATCGGCAGGCTCTGCAATCACTGGGGGTCCTCCAGAGGCTCTGCAATCACTGGGGGTCCTCCAGAGGCTCTGCAGTCATAGTGGGGCTCTGCAATGACTGGGGATCATACACTGGCTGTGCCATCACTGGGATATGATCGGGAGGCTCTGCAATCTCTGGGGTGTTGTATGAAGGCTCTGCCCTCACAGGGGCTTGACATCCAGCCAGTGCGATCGCAGGTGTATCATATACAAGAACTGCAATCACAGAGGTACTATAACCAGGCACAGTGATCCTAGAAGAATTCTACCCAGGTGCTGCACTCACAAGGGGCATCCCATCCAGTCAGTGCAATCATTACATCCAGGCACTGCATTCACTTGGGCAGTTATGTCCTGGCAGTGCAGTTAGAGGGGGCAGCAAAACAAAGTACTCTGACGGAGGTGTCGTAGCCTGGCACTGCAATCACAGGGCATTCTAACCTCCCACTACTGCACTTAAAGGTATCACATCCAAGCACTCCAATAACAAAGGCATCCGTGCAATCACAAGGACATCATATCCTGGTGCTGAAATCACAGGGGCACAACATCTGGCCCTGTAGTCATGGGAGTACATTTTGAAACTAATATTGGGGCACTTTCTGGCCCTGCAACCAGCAGGACATACTATCCTGGCACTGCTATCACAGGGTTACATTCTGAAACTAAGTAGGAGCAGCTTGTAGTGGCAAAGCCATCACCAGGGTGAACACAAGGGCTCCACATACAGTCCCTGCAATCAGAGCGATATCACATCCCTGACACTGCAGTCACAGGGACTACCCTCGCTGACACTGCAGTCACAGGGGTGCTACAAACACAGGGACTACCCTCGCTGACACTGCAGTCACAGGGACTACCCTCGCTGACACTGGGGCACTACAAACACAGGGACTACCCTCGCTAACACTGGGGCACTACAAACACAGGGACTACCCTCGCTAACACTGCAGTCACAGGGGCGCTACAAACACAGGGACTACCCTCGCTGACACTGTAGTAACAGAGGAAGCCTTTTTCTAACCATGCAATCACAAGAGTGCCAGCCCCAGCAGAGTGCTGAGATTGTGGTTCACAATGTAAACAACAGAAGGGTGGGATATCCCAACAATTGCACAGCCATAGCTACACCCTGACTGTTCTGACAGAGCACAGGCTGTAATCTGGCATTTTAGTAAAAGATACAAACTAGCATCTTGCTTTACAAGGCATCCCTTTTGGGCTGTGATCAATGGGATCTCCAGTGTGTGATGGAAAACCTTGTATTGCTGTGGAGTGATAGTTTGTTTATAATAATACAATTCTGGGGGGGGGTTTAGGCCAATAGTCCCCAGACGGTGCAGGTATCACACATCAGCAGTCCCCAGACGGTGCAGGTATCACACATCAGCCCCGTGTGAGTGGTTGGGGCTGCTGGTATATGGATATAGGTAGATCCCGCACACATTAATCTAGCAGGCATCCCCCACAATGATTTAGCAAGCAATGCATGCACAGAGCTGTTAATCTGCAAGGAGCATCAGCGAGTACACGACAAGGTCTGAGCATGGCGATACTGATAGGGGGGTTTCCTCATTGCAGGGATGCCAGGAGAAAACTGAAATAACAGTGGGTCAGATCGCTGAGAGACCTGGCTACTGCAAACACATCAGGCTGCAGTTATTAGCAACATTCACACCAATGACCAGAAAAAAAGCACATAAAAGATTCTCTGAAGGATGACAGCGGGCTCTAAATAAAGGGACTACATGCAGGATATTTCACACAGACCAAAGAGCATTCACACACAATAACAGATTGCAGCTTAAATCTGTCAAAGGGGAACACCGATCCGCTGCCCAAGGTTACGGCGCTGTGAATATTTTCTGCCCTAACCGTGTCACCTACATTAAACATCAAAATTGTATATTTGGCACATTTCACAGGAGATCATCCAGTAATACAATACCGATCACAGCCTAGCACATGAGGATTTAGAGGATGCGAATTTAAAGCCACAAAAACCTACATATTATATATATTTTTTCAGATTTGGGCGTTAAGATTAGCACATCCAACAACTGCATTAAGATTCAGTTGGCATACAACTGATGGCACAGGTCCCAGAAATTATGGCCACTCATCTACAAGAAGCTGACATTTGCAGACTGAGACTTTCACGTCAGCCCCTGCCACAGAGGAGCTTACACTCTATTGTCCATACACACAAGCTGACACATTAGCAGAAGCACATCTATAGGACTGTCTACCAATATGTTTTTGACTTGTATGGGAAAGTTTATGCAAATACAAGAGTATCCAAGTCATATTATACCCAGATCACAAGTAAATCTAACGTATAGTATCCATGCTGACACATCAGTATTTTTTTTATATATATATATATATATATAAAAGAGGGGGGAGAGCTTGGTTTGTTTCATTAGTCACCAGGCAATTTTAAGTTTTTTTTTTTTTTTTTTTTTGTCAGCAAGCCCATTTGCTTGTTTTAGCCATGAGCTACTGAGCATCTGCAGAACTACATATACCAGCAAGACAAAGCCTGCTTGTAATGAGTCCATAGCAGCCTGAGCCCCTTCCTGCCTGACGTCAATTGCTGGCAGTGTTTCTCGCTTGCCCGTTATCCCTAGTCTCTGAATGGGGATTGACAGCAAGAAATTAAAGCTTTTCAGGCAAAGCCGCACACATCTACATTTTCTTTCCAGTAGTGTAAAATTAATCTGTAGAGAATTTTTATGAATACACAAAGATCCCTCAGATTAACCCACACAAAACTGGTAGGAGACTAGAGACTTGGAACACTTATTGCAATATAAATAAAAAATGAACCATGTACAGTTCTGAAATAATAGGGCCTTTAGTGAACTTGTGGAGCATATTGTCATCCTAAATGTATTTGAGGCACCAAATACACAGAGCTGTACATATTGTAGTCACATCAGTCCCTGCCCTCGAGGAGCTTACAATCTAAGGTCCCTATATCACATGCATACATACATAAACCTACTAAGGCCAATACTTTTTTTTTTTTTTTTTGCAGTGTTGGGGAAACCCGTGCAAACTCCATGCAGATAGTGTCCTGGTCAAGATTTGAACCAAGGATCCCCAGTGCTGCAATGCATAAGTGCTAACCACTGATACAGAATGTAGTAACGACGACTAGTCAGCACTTGCTATGGGACACTGAAATATTTAGCCTCACAGCATTAAAGCTGTAGAGCTTCTGTTAACATGTCAAAGTGCCATAAATCTAAACAACCAATCAACAGTTAACTTCCACGGTTTTCTTTTCAGCTGATTGTGCTGTGGTGTTCCTGCACAAAGCTGCTGTTTGTATCATCTTATTAGATTAGCCTTTATCACATTTAAAAGGACAGCCTGCTCAATTGAATTATGCTGAACAATTGTCCTCCTGTAATGTTGAAGGATATCATTGTACCTGCAGTGTTCTGAAGTGTATTTTCATTTCTTTTTAGAAACGCACTGATGTTCAACAACGAATTAATGGCCGATGTTCACTTTATCGTGGGTCCCACTGGGGACTCCAAGAAAGTCCCTGCACACAAGGTATACCGGCAGTAAGACTGACCTAAAACTTCTCTATGTTGCTCTGGCGTCAGATGCTAAACTTTAGGTTTTCCCTTTTAGTACATTTTGGCTGTCGGCAGCTCGGTGTTCTATGCCATGTTTTATGGCGATCTAGCGGAGGTGAAATCTGAAATCCATATCCCAGACGTGGAACCTGCAGCATTTTTAATCCTTTTAAAGTAAGTGGTCATTAAAGAATTGGAAAAAATAAGCACTGCAGCAAGCATAAAAGCTTATAAAATATGCATCTCTTAGCTGGCATTAATGGCTTTCTCCTGATCTGAAGCTTTAATATGGTCATCTGAACAGTAGTTCATAAACCACAAAAGCTTTGTGTTGATTCTGCACGGATACAGAGATATCTATAAATCATTGCTAGAAGATGGGGAAATATTCACAGGGCTGTTTTTGTTCCTGGAAAAATATGTTTGGTATGCCCACAATGGCACAAGATAACTAGCTGAGCAACCAATCATCTTTGATCAATTTATTACGTATTTGTTGGCAGATACTGCAGTTGCTCTGGTAAAAAAAAAAAAAAAGTAATGTAGAACTAGGGGCAAAACATTGTTTAGTTTCGGATAGAGTGCGGAGGTATTAGAACATCTGTCAGCTTTTATTGCTGACCCCCCCCCCCCCCCCCCCTTCCCTTTGAAGGAGAGTCACTTTCTACTTGTTATGCTTATTATTCAAAATTAAAGAAAATCCCAAATTATGGGATGTCCCCAGAAAAGTAACAGAGGAGAAAGCTTCCAATGGGGATCCTAGTTCTGGTGACATAGGGGTCCGCAAGGAATTTCCTTAATTTGCAGCGGTTTCCTCTCACTTCTTGTTTGGCTATGGGAAGTGAAAGGAAATCTCAATGGGGACACAGATGGCAAAATAAATTAAACAGAAGTTGTAACAAAATGGGGAGAAAAAAAAAAAAAAAAAAAAAAAGCTTATAGTTCCTACTTGAACTGAAAAAACTCAACTACACTACTAAAGATAACTATACTGAGAGAATGAAGTAGGGCACTACCAACCCCTCCTGAAAATGCTGGATGCTTGGCTCTTCTGGTGATCCAACAGCTGCAGTAGTTTGTCACAGAACCCCAAAATTGCAAACTTGCCTAAGTTCAGTGACTCAGAACTAAAGCCAGGCAACTAACACTTTCAGAAAGATGTTGGCAGTTGTAGCCTACTTCTTTTTTTCTTAGTACAAGTTTTCTTTGGCCTGTTGTTGCTGGCCGGATGCATATATGTGGTGGTGGTCTTTAATGTGCATAGAGCCGCCTTCACTGTTTTGGTTGGGAGTATGCTCATTCGGCAGCCCTAGCACAATGATCTTACTGTTACTGGCATCTCCTGGTCTCTGTTGATGAGTGGCAAGATAGGTTCCCACTTACGTGATCACTGTGACAGTCAATCACAGTGATCACATGATCTTGAGGGAGCCAACAATAAGGGGTTAAATAATTCAATGCATTGCTAACCATGAATGCCTTTACATCTAATTTGAGAGGTTGTGCTGTTTCACTGGCCCTTTAAGCCCTGAAACCCAACATTAATGGCTCAATTCTTCTTTGTAGGTACTTATACAGCGATGAGATTGACCTGGAAGCGGACACTGTGCTTGCAACACTCTACGCTGCCAAGAAGTACATTGTTCCTGCGCTAGCCAAGGCCTGTGTCAATTTCCTGGAGACCAGCCTAGAGGCCAAGAATGCCTGTGTTTTGCTTTCACAAAGCCGGCTTTTTGAAGAGCCCGAGCTGACTCTGCGGTGTTGGGAGGTTATAGATGCTCAGGCAGAGCTTGCGCTGAAGTCAGAAGGCTTCTGTGAGATTGATCTGCCGACTCTGGAGATTATTGTGACACGAGAGACCCTCAACACAAAAGAGGATGTTGTGTTTGAGGCGGTTTTGAACTGGGCAGAGGCCGAGTGCAAAAGGCAAGGCCTGCCAGCCACCCCTGCCAATAAAAGGAATGTATTGGGGAAAGCACTATACTTGGTACGGATTCCGACCATGACTCTGGAGGAATTTGCCAATGGAGCTGCCCAGTCAGACATTTTAACCTTGGAGGAGACGCGCAGCATATTCTTGTGGTACACAGCTGCTAACAAACCACAACTCGAGTTCCCGCTTGTTAAAAGGAAAGGACTGGCACCTCAGAGGTGCCACAGATTCCAGTCTTCGGCCTACCGCAGTAACCAGTGGAGGTACAGAGGCCGCTGTGACAGCATCCAGTTTGCCGTTGACAAAAGGATATTTATTGGTGGTCTGGGGCTTTATGGGTCGAGCTGCGGTAAAGCAGAATATAGTGTCAAAATTGAACTTAAAAGGCAGGGGGTGGTCCTTGCCCAAAACCTGACTAAATTTGTTTCTGATGGATCGAGTAACACCTTCTCAGTCTGGTTTGAGCACCCAGTGCAAGTAGAACAGGACACCTTTTACACTGTCAGCGCCATCTTGGATGGAAATGAACTCAGCTACTTTGGGCAGGCAGGAAGGTATGACGGAGGTGCAGTGTGGGAAGGTGACCTTCCAGTTTCAGTGCTCTTCGGACAGTACTAATGGAACTGGGGTGCAGGGGGGACAGATTCCTGAACTCATCTTCTACGCATGACCCATTTCACTCCCCCCGCTACTGCTAAAGCACACAGACGCGCGCCCCCTTTCACCTGGTTGGTCCTGACACGCACTGAAAAGGGGGGGTGGAGGCTTTTTTGGTTTCTTTATTTTCTATGTTAAAACTACATCAGTATGGAATGTAACAAACTGCCTGTCAAAACTCCAACTGAAGGAATGCTTTTAGAGTTTAATCTTATTTTATTTATTTATAAACTATTTGAATTATTAAAACTGCAACACGCAGGGAGATGATAAAGAAATCTGCACACAATGTGCTTTTTATTTTGTATATAGATAACTTGTTAAAATGAGAAAAAAAACAAAAAAAGCAGACTCGAAGGAGAACTGCAGTTATATATGTTACATAAAAGATTTTTACTTATACCCAGTTATGCTTTATCTTGTGGTTTGTTGTGAAGGTGCGAACTCTCTACAGTTGTTCAGGTGAACACAAACCCTTTTAGGCCCATGCATCTACACTAAAGACTATTAGAGGGGAAAAGAGAGTGTCTCACATTGTCAGAAACTGAGAAAAGATCTATCACTGTCTCACAGAATATGGAAAATAACTAACAAGACCAATATCCTTACAGCTATACAATATTTCACTCCTGTTTAACTTTGTAAGGTGCAGATGACCCTATATAACATTAATCTCTTTGTGAGTCAAGCAAATCTGTAAAATATAAAGCAAAACAAGATTCAAATTCATGCTGCCATTACAGAGTAATCAGTTGTGGAAACTTTCTGTTTTTACTACTTATAGTATCGCTGCTGTAATGCATATTACTACACAGAGCACTACAGGGATATTTTCCATTGCTGTTCATTGGCATGCTAACTGAAAGGACTGCCTTAAAATATATCTAAAGACAAAAAGAAAAAACATTTTAGCTTACCAGTCTATAGATGTAGTGGCTGGATTGTTTTTTAAAAAACTTCCTGTCTTAGGGTGTCAACGTCATTTGCTACACTGTATCGATGGAGGGGCAGGGTTGCCACCCTTGGCTGCTCTTCTGTTTGGACTACAAACACCTACATCTTCTCCATCACAAAGCCAGAGTGGTCCTGTATTTCTCAGAGATGGATGGAAGCAATGCAGCACAAGAAGTTAGCTGCTGACACATTTCTGGCAAGATCAGCTGCCATTTTGTAAACTTGTTGAAGAAATGTAATAAAAAGGAAACAATGTGTATTTAACAGACCAAAAGTGACAAAGAATAGAAAACTGACTGTTAGGGCTTACATATACTTTAACGTAACACACATCAGCTAAAGCGTTCTAAATGTCCATCTATAGCAGGGGGTCTTCAAAGGGCCAGCTTACTGTCCTTTAGATTTTGAGTAGACTGGACTGTGGCCAGTGGGAGTAGAAAAATGCCCCATCATCGTTGATGGCAGTGGGAGGAATGCCACTCAACGCTGATGGCAGTGGGAGGAGTACCGCCCCATCGCTGATGGCAGTGGGAGGAGTACCGCCCCCATCGCTGAAGGCAGTGGGAGGAGTACCGCCCCCATCGCTGAAGGCAGTGGGAGGAATACCGCCCCCATCGCTGAAGGCAGTGGCAGGAATACCGCCCCCATCGCTGAAGGCAGTGGCAGGAATACCGCCCCCATCGCTGAAGGCAGTGGCAGGAATACCGCCCCCATCGCTGAAGGCAGTGGCAGGAATATCGCCCCCATCGCTGATGGTAGTGGGAGGAATACCGCCCCCATCGCTGAAGGCAGTGGCAGGAATACAACCCCCGTGGGGGGGGGGGGGTTGGGGGATAATGACTCCAAGGGCCAGGTAAAGACAAGCAAGAGTAGCATCCAGCCCCTGGGCCACAGTTTGGAGGCCACTGATCTATAAAGTAGAAAGCTGATTGATTGCAGGAGTTTCTTCCACTGCAGATAATGATCTAAGATGTTTTACTACATTGTAACAAGTTCAGAACATGTTACATATCTATAAAAGTACACCACGAAGGAAGCAGTGTATCAACTGATTCAAATAGAAGTGAACGGTTTTGCCAGTTCAGCCAGTCTTGTGAAAAAGTCCAATATATAGTGATTGTGCTTTACCGATCCCTGCACCTGCCTACTCATAGGATAAAGGAGGAAGGCAGAGAGGTGACAAGGAGAAGCATAAAGCGGATTCAGAAAAGAATACAAAAGTTTACATGTTCACCTTGACAGAGCTGGCAATAGCACTCATGGATAAAAGCATCATTCAATGAAAACTTGAATGGCCTGTTCACACCGGTACATTTTTGGTGTGAAAAAAAAATCCTGTTTGCTGTGCTTTTATCAAAACGTGTTGACTAGGGATCAAATGGTGATGCATGTACATGGCAAAGCATTTATACTGCAAAGGTGTGAATGTACAGTATAGGCAAACTGTTCAGCGATAAGTTGCTTGAGCTGTGGCATGGAAAGAGGGTCATCACATGGCCATGCAGTATGTAAAATCACAAAACCTGCTGAACAGTTACAAATCCTTTGGCACATAAGAGTTCAAAATATAAATTATTCTCAGCTTTATAAAGTGGTTCTAAAGGTAAAAGTGTTTTTACCTTAATTCTTTTTTATGCATTAAAGTAAATTGTAGAGAGAGGAAAAAAAAAAAGTTTTCCCCTGCAAGACAAAGGCATAATGTGCAAGTACGCATCGCATTGAATGGCTGAGCCGCGATGACGTCACTTTTTTTCCTGCATACAGCTCTGAAGGAACAGCATGGGCACGCCATTCCTTCAGACAGCATGCGCCGGTGCACTACACAGGTAAATGTCACCTAAATGGTGCATGCTTAGGCGATATTTACAGTACCTATAGGTAAGCCTTATTGTAGGCTTACATGTAGGTACAAGGGAAATAAAACAGACTTTACTACCACTTCAAGCTTCAAAGAAAGAAAAAAAACTTCTCTGTGCAGCTCCCGCCCCCCTTTATAGTTACTTGAGCCCAATCTTAATCTAGTGCTATGCATGAGCGCAGTGGCTCTCTCCACTCCCTCCCTCCTCATTGACTCAGAGACAGCAGCAGGAATCATTGGCTCCCACTGCTGGCAATCACAGCCATTGAGGAGGGGGCGGGGCTGAGCTGTGCTATGTGTATCCTGCACAAGTGCTCCCATAGCAAGCAGCTTGCTATGGGGGCTCTCAGCCAAGGGCAGCAGCCAGGAGGGACACGGCATTCTGCAATTAAGTAGTAAGCTATACCGGTCCATTTCATCAAAAACAAGTAAAATTGGGACTGGTGCCCACATCAACCAACCATAAGTTATCAAGTCCAAATTCACTTAGAAAAATAATCCTTGGCTATGATTAGTTGCCATGTACTTTCAGTCTTCATTCTACAGATCCTCAGAAAATGTACCACAAAATTGTATCCAGCATCTGATCAGAAACTTTACTTCAGCTGCTATTAGTGAACAGAAAGTTAGAGGTTGATGATACAAGCGCTCCCTGCACTTGGCCAGCAAAGCAGCTGAATGTTGTATTTAGAGCTGGCTAAGTAGGGTAATAAATTATGCCAATGTCAGGGTGGTCTGGCCTATATGATATGCTGAGCTGAGAGAAGTGCTCACCAATGAAGGCCATAAAGAAATAGTTATACATTGTTTAGAACACATCCTACCAGTGACTGTCCTGGACTTTGTCCGTTTGAATCTAAGGAACCCATAAAGACGAGTTAAACATGGTACCAAAGAATTTAAAACAAATACCATTTTTTTCCAAGTGAAAGCAATTATGCAATAGCGTAGATTCTGACATTTGTGGAAATATTTGATGCGTTCTTCAAAACACTACAGATCTACTTACAGTATATATTGAATCTCAGAGTCACACAAGAAACACAGACTAAGCTGAAAGCGGATCTTCATCCTCTGAGTAAACTTCCCTCCAATCCACTCCTCTACTCCGCCACATGAATAGCGCTGTCTTTTTTAATTACGTATTTACATTTTTTTTTAATGAAAAACGTGCGCCCCCACCCCATGCATGTCACCCGTCTAGGCGAATGACATGCAGTGCTCACTGTGGCTTCTGAGATATGTACATCATATATCCCTGGAGGCATAGCCTGTCATTCAGAAAGGGGGGCATGCCTAGTGCCATGTCATCAGGAGGCGTGCCGGCTGAACCTGGAAGAGCTAGTTGGTGGACTTCTCGATGATGTCACAAGCAACATGTCGGCATGGGACTGAGCATGGGCAGAAGACACAAGGACTTCAGCGGGACAAAGCTGTATCCTCCTGGTGGGTGAGTATCTGAAATGTACACAACACACCACCCGGTAAGCCGGGGGTATTTGAAAAATATAAAGGGGGGGGGGGGGGGGGGGGAGGCTAAGATCCGCTTTAATCATAAGCTTCATGGCCCCCTGCAAGTTTATGCCATAAGTATGCACCATATACTAGCACACTATGACAAGCTTACCTTTACTACAAGGCCCTTCAGCGCACCTTTCGGGTTCACAGGCCCATCGGTTCCCGCTGCTGTCATTCACAGCCAGTGAGCCAATGAGGAGAGAGCAGCGGGCTCTACGTGTTGTCTTATGGATGCATAGAGCAGAGGCTCGAGAATGAGCATGCCGAGGTGCCCCCAGGGTGAGCAGCTTTCCTTGAGGGCACTGCTTGAGGGGGAGGAGCCAGGAGCACCAGCAGGGACCCGAAAGAGAGGATCTGGGCTGCTCTGTGCAAAACCATTGCACAGAGCAGGTAAGTATAACATGGTTATTTAAAAAAAAAAAAATATTGCTTTAAAAGAAAAGTATGGTCAAAAGGTTTTAGTCACAGGAGTGCACTTATTTTCATTCTCTTCTGGCCCAGAGTTAGCTGAGAGTGGATGGGGCAGAGCCAAGGCCAAACTGTGGTAGGATCCTGACAATATTGTCAGGATTCACCAGGCTGCCTGACTAACAGCTAGCTCCACCTTTCATCATAAGACTGAGATCTGGAGTCTGTTGATCCCAACCCCTCCCAAGCCTAGTGCTCCAGTTATCTCTGGAGGA